CCCCCGCGCGGCGCCTCCTTGGCCCGGTGCAGTAGGCGCTCCTCGCGGCTCCGGAGGCGCTGCTGCCGGCGCTCCAGCTGCCGCTTGTACTGATAGCGCTGCTGGAAGAGGTCCCGCGCGTAGTCGTAGAGCTGCATGTCCAGGTCGTTGAGCTCCTCGATGCGCCGGATGGTGTCCTCGCCCACCTCCACGCCGCCCGCCCGCGTGCTGTTGTACTGCATGAAGGGCCGGATGAACTTGAGGTTGAACGTCCGCTCGAACAGGTACTGCGTCTTGCGCTGGAACTCGGTCAGGCCGAAGAAGGCCATGCCACGCAGGTTCTTCTTGGCGCTGTCCAGCAGCAGCTGCGCCCGCTTGCCCTCGGGGATGAAGGACAGGTTGTAGCAGCCCACCAGGCTCAGGTCGGCCAGCATGCGCACCTGGCGGTTGTTGGCCAGGTTGTAGGGGCAGTCCATGAACTCCTGCAGCGTGCAGCCCGACCAGTCCGTGCCCTCGTAGCAGGGCGGCAGCTCCTCGGGCGTCGGCGTGCGCCCGTCACACATGTGCAGCGACGTCTTCCACGTGGCCCCCCGCTGCACGTGCCGCCACTCGCTCAGGTAGCGGGACACGGGGTCGCGCAGCAGCGTGATGTAGTAGAATTTCCTGCAACGAGACGGGGAGAGGGTGAGGCCAGGGCACCAGGGGTGGGACACGCGGGGGCCGTTTCCGGGCAAAGGAAGGAGGAGGCTGCAGCCCGGAGTCTGAACACCGAACCTGGGCCCAGGGTCTCCTCCAGGGCCTTCTCTTGAGCCCCAGGCCTGCCCTCCTGCCCGCTCTTTCCTTGGGAGGGACAACCTGACTTTGCCCGCAGCTGGATGGAGGAGGGTGGCCCCAGGGCCCACGCCACCTGCAACCAGCAGTTTACAGAGCTGTGCACTGTGGGCGACTTGGTGCCACCCAGTCCCAGGCTGAAGACTGCACAGCAGGCCTGGTCAGGGCCTCCCACCAGGTTCACTCCACCCCAGCTTCTGCAGAGGTCCTGTGGCGGTGGGGCACCAGACCACCCAGCCCAGGAGCCCCGGGTGAGCCATAACTCATGATTTATACCACCTCCCAGGAACTATTCAAGACGCCACCTCCCTGCACTGTAAGGAAGGGGCATCTGGACCGTGGGGGACTGGACTCAGGGAAGGCTCCGCCCCTTTTCCCCCATCCTCTGGGTTGACAGGCCCCTAGGATGATTCGTGCAGTAATGATTGGCCCTGGTGCTGGGTGTTCCCCTCACAAGCCTGGGACATGTGTGGGTCGCCCCAGCAGGGTTTGCAGCCCTCCTCGGAGGCCCCCTCCAGGGCTGGCAAAGTGGCTGCCGGTACAGCGTAGGGCAGGTCTCAGGCCAAGGAGAACTGCTGGGGTGGGCAGTCTCGAATGTTCTCAAAAGCTGGGCCCCACGCACCACTCCAGAGGGACCCTCCCCAGATCTACCCAGATGGCAACATAGAAGCTGCACCCACACTTCCCCTTTGTTACTGAGGCCCAATAAGAGTGCCCCCCTCCCCACTGCCCTGAGGCACAAGACACCCAGCAGGGTCTGCTGGCTGTGCCCTGATTTGACCACATTTCTGGGGTGGGAGGGCCTGAGGTATGGGCATGGTAACCAGCAAGCGCAAAGGTGGTGGAGTACCACTGGAGGTCACCCCAGCTTCAGGGGCCACATCCAGAAACCACAGGAACGGCAGATGGGGAGAGGGCTGGGGAGGGAGTCAGCAGGGAGCAGAGAGCAGGAAGGGCATCCTGACCCCTGACCCCTCCCCAAAGCCTGAATTCTCCTGTCTGCTCTCTGCCTCAGGCCCCGCCAGCTCTAGAAGCAGCCCCCCACGTGCCCCGCCCCCGCCCAGACACTGACCACTTGCTCTCAGCCTCTGCAGACAGCTCCTGTGCCAGTCCTCCAGCAGGGCAGCCCTGCAGCCGGAACCTGACACTCCCACCAGGGCCTCCTCCTGGCCCACTTGCTGGCTCCTGCAGGAGACACCCCAGGGCCTTTGCACGAGCTGTGTACCCCTCACTGCTTCACCGGCTGACTCTGACTCATACTCTAGACCTTGGCCAGTGTTGCCTCCCAGGGAGGCCTCGTGCTGCATACACACTCCCCCTGGGCCTCTGTCACAGTGGTGACTTCACACTGACCTCTCCGCTCACCCTACGGTAGGGAAGGGGGTAGGCGGGAGCTGACTCCTGTGTGTGCATTAAGCAGGGGAGACAAGGCAGAGGGAGACTCAGGGTGGACCCCTCCCATAGCACCTTCAGCCCCCAGGGGAAGAATTTAAGCAGCTGTCTGGAGGCCCCAAGTGGCTTCAGTGCTGGAGTTGGGGGAGGAGGGGCAGCCAGGCTCCTCTCCGCTTGCTTTGGTGGGTATGGGCAGGTGAGAAGCCCTTGAACGTGGCCAGGACGAGGAGGTCAGTCCATCCCTGGGGCCAGCTTTCTAGAGTCTTAGTTTAAGACATTTATAAACCCTGACCAGGACACTGCTTCTGAAGAGGCCATGACAGATGGGCAGACAGAGCAACGGACACAGGGACACACCTAGAAACACACGTGCACTTGTGCTGTGCTGCGTGAGGGCCACTGCACATGCTGGCACCCCTCCTGTGCCTGGCCGGTCCCGAGTCCTGCCCTCGCCCCACCCCCTACCCGCCTGCCCTCCAGACTTCCAGAAGGAGGGGAGAGGGGACATGGGGGAGGAGATGATGAAAGAAACAGTGAAGAGGGGAATCTATAATTCGTTTTGCGTGAAATGGCTCACCCACTGCCCAGCAGATGAAAGTGGAGACCAGACCCAGGGTAAGAGAGGTGACCCACGAAGCAGGTGCACAGAAAACTGGAATATGTAAAGAAGGTCGGTTGTTGGAATGACTCAACTTCTCTGGAACACCACGTGTTAAGACTCAATGGAGCAATGGCTTTGAAATGCTGATCTCATAACCAGCCAAGCTGTCAGCCAGGTGCGAGGGGAAAGCAGACACTTTCAGACATGTGAGGGCTTGGGAAATCTGTTTTCTGTGAATCCTGCTTTAGGGAGGTCCTAGGTTATGTATCGCAACCAGTGAATGGGATACAAAAAAGCATGGGAGACAGGGGTTCCAGCCCAGGAGAGACCTAGGATGCTCACTGTGCATCCTGCTGGGCCTTTTCCAAAAAAAGGAATGTGGACCCTGTCCTGTCCATGTGGATTACCCAACACAACAGAGCATTCGTGTGGAAAAAAAAAAGAGGAATGAATGGTAGGTACATGGCGGATCTTTGGAATCATTTGTAAAAAAATAAGTCTATGAAGACAGAAGACAAAGCAAGTAAAACCAAGGGCAACTGTTAACTCCAGGAAAAACAAAAAGTTACAGAAAGAAGAAATGAAGCACACTACTAGGCTCAGAAGAAAACACTTGTTTTAGAAACAGCAAATGTACACAGTGATCACTGATTTAATAAAAACTTGAGCTTTAATGCTACTCAGAGAGCACACAGATAATGCTTTAATCAATCAACCAGGAAATAGCTCTATGCCTTATTTAGGAATATGGAAGTAAATAAAGGATGACTATTGAAAAGAGGTGCAGGAAGTTCTTTGTAGAGATTGGAGAAGCAAAATAGATCTGTTGGATTTCATCATAACTCCCTTGGAGCTATTTGTCGTTAAGCATGCGGATTATTGAAAAAAAAAAAAAGGAAACAATGAGGAAACCGGCTAAAAAAACACATGGAGAGACACTCCCCTTCATTAGTCATTGAGAAAATGACATGTTCAGCACAACGTGATGCCCACGGGAGTGAGCAGCAGGACAGAAGTGGGGCGATGGCAACTTCTGACCACTCCCTCTGGGATGTGGGCTGGGCACAGTCAGGGAGTGTCTTCACAGGGAGCCTGAAGGCACACACACCTCGAGGCCTCTCCTGGACACACATCCCAGGGAAGCCTTGTCCACATGGCCCAGGAGACATGGACAAGGCCGTCCCCAGCACACCGCCGGGGACCGCCCCAGGCGTCCACCCCGCGGGCGTGTGTACGCAAATGGTATATTCTTCCCACGGCCCACTGCTCGGCAACAAAAATGAACCAACTACAGCTGCCCACAGCAACCCGGGTAAACTCACGTGTTGCAGAAAAATAAGCAAATTAAGAAAATTTAATAGAGTATGATGACATTGTGGGCCAAGTTTCCAACAATAAAACCAAAGAGAATACTATTCAGTGGTTCAAACATATAGATTGAAACTAATAAAAAGAAAAAGGTGAGGAGGTGACGTTTCGGTGGCACTGACCACATTCCCAAGGGCCGCCTGTGGGGCCCCAGCTGGCCTTGCAGAGGAACCAGCATTCTTGCCAAACCAGGAGCCTCAGTTCCCCATAGAGCACGGGTCCCCGCCAACAACCTTTGCCAGCAACGCCCCCTCCCACCACTGTGCCCACCAACTCCAGGGGTCACAGCCCTTCCCTCCACCCTCCACGTGCTGATGAAGGGAGGGAGAGGGTCCAGGGAGGTGGGGAGGACCCCTGTGGGACTGTGAGGGTGGCCAGACTCCTGGGCCAGCTGGGGCTGTCCTTTGGCTGGAGAACCACAATACCCTCTGGGCAGCACCCTGTACATCCGCAGCAAGATGCGGCATGGCATGGGACCCACAAGGAAGCCAGGAGGTGACAAGCAGCACCACTCACCAACGGGGCAGGAAGGCATCCCAGAGACAGAGGGACACAGAGTTTCATGACTTGAGAGGGGGCAGTGCAGGCTTGAGGTGGGCGGGGCCAGGTGGAAAAGGGTTTGGTCCATTTCACAACAAAACGCGCTTGGATGGGACATGGCAGTAGGAGCGCAAAATTCACACAGATTTCAAAGATAAAACATCTGACTTCAATGAAACTTCCTGCTGTGAAATAATTCCAGCCCACACGGGCTACAACCACTCCCGACAGCCCACATGATGTACTGCCCATATCATGTTACCCTGCATCTCCTTATGCTCGGTTTAATGCTGTCTGCAACCTTGGCTGTCCTGACACTTATGTGTGCACAGCTTTAGTGCACCCCACAATCACGTGAGACCCTAGTGGACAAGCGCTGCGCTTTGTTCCTGGTGCAAACACTGCTGTCAGGGAGTGGCCGGCTCTGCAGTTGTAAGCGTCTGAGTTCTTGGGGGACCAGGGGCATGGGAGCCGGGCTCTGTTGATGACAGACACGCAGGTGGCCTCTGGGAAAACTCTGCAAGGTGCAGCCCTGCGTTCCTTCCTTGGAAGGTGGCAGCTGCGAGGTGGCTGAGTGGCAGGAGCTGGAGGGCCTGCCCTGTGGTAAGTCTGGGGTGGGGAGAGAACCCCTCTCTCTCCTGCCCCATCCTGTGGGCATCACGCAAGTGGGAGCCCATAGTCCCGACTGGGAGGTCGACACTGCATCTCCCACACTTAACCAGTGATGGGGACACTGGACTGGCAGAGGCCAGAGCCAACACCCGAAGCACAACAGCCCCTCCCCTCAACTGTACTTCAATTATAAAGCAAGAAAGCAAGCAAGCAAGCAAGCAAGCAACCCATTTAAAATATGGGAAGAAGAAATGAACATATTCCTCCAAAAGAGGAAATGCAGATGGCCAACAGGAACATGAAAGGATATTCACCATCGTTAATATCAGGGAAGTACAAATCAAAACCACGATGAGATATCATCTCACACCTGTAAGAATGGCCATCATCAAGAAGGACACAAATAACAAATGTTGGCAAGGATGTGGAGAAAAGGGAACCCTTGGATACTGTTGGTGGGAATGTAAATTGGTGCAGCCACTATGGAAAACAATACGGAGGTTTATCAAAAACCTAAAAGTAGAACCACCATATGGCCCAGCAGTTCCACTCCTGGGCATACATCCGAGAA